ATTATGAATCCATTGGCCGCACGAAAACTGATAGAAATCATGGCACGGATTGACCGATTCGTCCAATGTTTCCAGTAGTTTGGCCGCTGTTTTTGTTAGCCAATAAAAATAGATATATTTATATATATATATATATATTGTTTGTTATAACTTATCAAAGGGGACATACCTTCCTGAACACAGGTACGGGTCAAACAAACTTTGTTGTTGGCATCGCTTGAACTGTCAATCCTATTGACAATTGTCTTATTATTATTATTATTATTGATATCATTATCATCGGTAACACCATTTAGCCGATGGCCTAACTCTACTGAATTGATACCAATAGTAGTAATGTATATGAATATAGTTAGATAACTAAATAAATGTTTATTAAATATTTTTAGTAACATTTTTTTAATAGTATACTTATTATTATATAATGGAAACACAAATAATAGGTACACAACAACAAAATTGTTTAGTCAACTAATACACAAAAAAATTTTAAAAATAAATTTTTGTTGAAAATATATGTTTATATATATAACAAACTTTATTTTTTTCTTAAATTTTTAGTTACAAAGGTTAAGGCACTGAAAATTATATTCAAGATATTTATCACCGAAAAATTGCATTAAAATAACAAAAAATAACAACAATTTTTTTTTTACTAAACATAGCAACAATAAACAGGGAAATCATGTTTTTTTGTGAGTATTATTATTATTATTATTATTATTATTATTATATGAAATGAGGATTAGCTGACACAACCTGTTAAATGGTAATGAAAGTGAATGTTAAGAGAGAGAGAGAGAGAGAGAGAGAGAGAGAGAGAGAGAGAGAGAGAGAGAGAGAGAGAGAGAGAGAGAGAGAGAGAGAGAGAGAGTAATATAACTTGTTTTATATGTAATTTTTATTTCATAGTTTTAAAAGTTATACAAAAAAAGTCGGTGACATCTCTCTCTCTCTCTCTCTCTCTCTCTCTCTCTCTCTCTCTCTCTCTCTCTCTCTCTCTCTCTCTCTCTCTCTCTCTCTCTCTCTCTCTCTCTCTCTCTCTCTCTCTCTCTCTCTCTCTCTCTCTCTCTCTCTCTCTCTCTCTCTCTCTCTCTCTCTCTCTCTCTCTCTCTCTCTCTCTCTCTCTCTCTCTCTCTCTCTCTCTCTCTCTCTCTCTCTCTCTCTCTAAATTTATTAAACAAAATAATAATAATTATTAATTAATTAATAATATGAAAATCTAACAAACAAACATAAATATAAGCTAAATTGTATTTATATTTATTAAATTATATTTAATTTATTCTATGATAGATAAATGTAATCATTAATATATTTTTAAAAATTAATATATATATATAGTTTATCAGAAATTAATAAACAAAAAATATAATAGATTATTATTTTTTTGTTTATTTTAGTTTTAATAAATTTATAGAAAACTTCCCAATAATAATAATAATAATAATAATAATAACTAATTAAATATTTTTATTAAATAATTTCTACTTAATTTTTTATAAAATGGTTTTCAATATTTAATATAACTGTATTGTAGTTTTATTTCCATTTAACTATTAATTTATTTATTTTAATTTATTGATTAATTAACTACTAGTTTTATTGAATTAGTAATTTATAAATAAAATTATATTTATATCAGTGCATTAATATAAATATATATATATATATCATAATTATTAATTATTTTTATATATAAAATATAATAATTTAATCTAATCGACAAAAATAAATTTTTATAAATTTTATTTTTAAAATTAAATATCAAATAATATTAACATTTCTAATAATATTTTGTTTTTATTCACTAATTTTATAAAACTTTTGATATAATATAATATATATATATATATATATATTTAAAAAAAATTATAATAATAGAATATATTATCTAAAAATCTACAAAAATTAAAAAATATTGAAAGTAAAAATAAATTTATTATATAAAAAAATCAAATATTTGAGATATTATTTTTAAAAAAAAATTATTAATCAGAGCTATATAGTTTTTTATAACTATTTTCTGTAATATTAACATAAATATTATTTAAACATTAATTTTAATATTATAAAAAAATTTAATTTTTAATTATAATTATGCGATTATTTTTTTTAAAATAAAAATTACACGAATAATAAATATAATTATATTATTGTATATTAATCTTTTTTTTGTAATATACTGTATTAATATTAAAATAATAAAACAATTTACAAAATGACTTTTACTTTTAATAAATAATAGTAAATAAATTTTTATTGTTTAAAATGTATGACAAAAATTATTTTATTTTAATTAAAACAATTTTAATATTATATATATACATTATATATATATACTGTATATTGTGATAAAACAGGTATAGTATATAGTATTAATACAAACATTGTATGCAAAATATATTCAATAACAACAAAAAATTATATATAAAATTAATAACAATAAAATTTATTGCCAAAATTTAAATAATAAATTTTTTATTAAATAATTATTGCATAGTCAGCGTTACTGGTAATAATTGTCAATAGTTTTTTTTTTATTAAATTATATCTATATAAACAGTAAATATATATGCACTTTACTACTGTATGTTAATTGAAAACAAAACAAAAAATTAGTAGTTTTTTTGTTAAATATATAAAATAAATAATTTTAAATAAAAATATATAATCTAAAATAATTATATAGTTTTATCTAAAAACATTTTTTAAAAAAAAAACTAATTTCTATATATAAAAAAAAATATGGATTCATCTACTAATCATATAATACGATCGCAATATTATAATTATATGGATTATGATTGTTATACAAACAAATATAATTCAATTATTGAATTATTGATTGAAAAACTTGAATCAAATTCTCGGAAACTTTATATGGTTTAGTATTAAAGTTTTAAACTAATATACTGTTATATATATATATATATTTTTTTTTGTTTATAATTATTTATTTTTATTGTTGTTTTGTTTATATATAAAAAAAAGACTGACAGCACTAGTGGTCGCCAATGGACCAGAGGTCAGGTACTGGAGTCGGCCCTTAGATTTGGCCAATACTTGCGTACAGATGATTGTTGTCGACTGGAAACCGGAGAAGTGGTATGTTTTATAACACATAGCACTGACATACACGCCATTGGAGTGTTGGGCGTATTGGCCGCCGGAGGTGTCTATACGTCGATGGACTGGTCGGCCACTGAAAGTAAGTTTATTATTATTTTCAAGTTTTATGTTTTTAAAGATTTTTATTTTTATGTTATAATAATAAAATAAATCTAATAAATATTTTTTAGATGATATAGACTATACAATTAAGACACTAAAAGCTACGATTTTGATTGGCTATGAAAATAATTGGAATATTTTGAACAAATTGAAACAAAATAATAAAAACATCAAGGTATTATTATATATATATATATATATAATTTTAGCTAGTTAATTATGATTAGCTTAGTTAACAAAAAAAATTATAAATATTATAAATAATTTAATTTTTAAAAAAAATTACATAAAAAGATAGTCAATATATTTTAATGTGTTTTGAATAAATTTTTAAATATATAATATAATTATATTTTTTTAATATATATATATTAATTTATTTATCAATAGAAAATTTTAATGCTAAACACTAGCATTGAGTCCAATGCCGATTATATTGGCTACCAATCGGTGGAAACTATAATGAGAAAAAATAAATCATCACAACAACAACAACTACCTGTGCAAACAATGGCCGCCGATTTGGCAACAATAACAATGTCTAGCGGCTCGACTGGCCGACCAAAATACGTTCAATGGACAAACAGGCAATGGTTGGCACAGATGGCCATCAAACAACATCCTGAGGATCAACCGCTAACTACAACTGATATAGTATTGACTAAACTGTTTTGTCACGGACTGGGCATTCGGCCGCTACTTTATACGATAGTTGCCGGCGATGGCGGCAACGTTAGCGGTAGCAATGGCGGCAGCAATGGTGGTAGCAATGACGGTAGCAATGATGGTAGCAATGGCGGTAGCAATGGCGGCAGCAATGTCGGTAGCAATGGCGGCAGCAATGTCGGTAGCAATGGCGGCAGCAATGGCGGTAGCAATGGCGGCAGCAATGGCGGTAGCAATGGCGGCAGCAATGGCGGTTGCAATAGCGGCAACAATGGTGGTAGCAATGACGGTAGCAATGACGGTAGATATGGCGGCAGCAATGGCGGTAGCAATGGCGGCAGCAATGGCGGTAGCAATGGCGGCAGCAATGGCGGCAGCAATGGCGGCAGCAATGGCGGCAGCAATGGCGGCAGCAATAGCGGCAACAATGGTGGTAGCAATAGCGGCAACAATGGTGGTATCAATGACGGTAGCAATGGCGGCAGCAATAGCGGCAACAATGGCGATAGCAATGGCGGTGCACAGTTAATAGTCCTGAACAGCCAGTGCTGGTCATATGATAGGCTATTCGAGACAATTCGTGACTATAAGGTTACGGTATATTTAGCTGTACCCCAGGATTTAATATTTTTRGCGAAAAATTCCCATAAATATGATAAACAATATTTAAAATCGTTGACAATGTTGACAGTCGGTGGCGGTTCAATTAGTCAAGAAATTTTTGATACCATTAGACAATTGTATTCAATTGATAATTTTAGACGATGTATGTTTTTTTATTTTTATTTTTTATAATTTTTTTAAACTGATAATAATAATTATTATTATAATTTCTAAATATATATTTATATTAACCTTGTTTCATAATTAGTTACACACACATATATACACACATATACACACATATACACACATATACACACATATACATACATATACACATATATATACACAAATATACACAAATATACACAAATATACACACATATACACATATATATACACAAATATACACACATATAAATAAAAAAAATTATTCCATGATTTTTTAATAAATATCATTATTATTATTATTATTATTATTAAACATAGCTTACGGTATGTCAGAGTGTGGTACAGTTTTTACTGTACCGTTGAGTCAACAAATCAGTATCAGTCGTACACAGAGTATTGGTTGCGTAACACCGGGAATGGAGGTCAAGATTATCGACAATCGGGGCAATAGTCTACCAGCCAATCAAACGGGACAGATATGCGTACGCGGACCGACTGTTAGTAATTATATACAGTTTATATATATATTTGCTAAAAAAAAATTAATTAATTATATTTTTGTATTATATAGGTAACACCCGGCTATTTTGGTAATCCCGGTGCTACCAATCAATTGTTTACAAGCGATGGTTTCCTATTGACCGGTGATTTAGGATATTATGATCGGAACGAGTGCTTCTATTTTGTCGATCGTCTAAAAGATATTATCAATTGTGGAGGTCTTATAGATTATATATAAATATATAATATAATTATTATATTATAATACAGTATATATCAGGGTTAAGTAAGGTTTTTTTGAGTTTAGGGGGGGGGTAGATCGCGGTGAAATTTACAAAATTGTCGAAAAATTTTTTGGGGGGTGGAGTATTGGGTGTATATATATATATTATTATTGCATTTTTAAACTGCAATTGTTTTTCAAAAATCAAAAAATCAAGGTGGGGGTCAAGAGAAAATTCCCTAATATTCCCCTAAATTCCCGAACATTCCCATGTAAATTCGATAAAGTTCCTATAAGTTCCCGTATAAATTTCCAAATATACAAAAAAAACATAAATAATAATTAATTTTTCAAATAATTTATATTTAATAAAATAATTTATTAATTATTTTTTATATATAAAAATAATTTTAGGAATTAATTTGTCGCCAAAACAACTTGAAAATCAACTATTATCTCATCCATTGGTCGAAATGGCGGCCGTTATTGGCATCGATGACAAACAGTACGGACAGATAGCCATGGGTTTTGTAACACTTATAGCCAACAACAACACCGACACCAATACCACTAACCACACTATTGTTGATAATGATGTGCGGGTGGCTAAGGAACAGGATATATTAGAGTATGTCAATGAAATGGTTAGCAATCCTTATAAGCAGCTTAAAGCAGGGGTAAAAATTTTGGACAAAATGCCCATGACCAGTTTGGGTAAAATTAACAAGATGAAATTAAAAGCGATTTATCAACAATAAATTGGAAGTTTATAATTATTTTTATTTATTCATTAAAATAGATTAGGTTAGGTTAGGTTAGGTTAGGTTAGGTTAGGTTAGGTTAGGTTAGGTTAGGTTAGGTTAGGTTAGGTTAGGTTAGGTTAGGTTAGGTTAGTACTAATATTATATTAGTTGATTAGTACATATAATTTAATTGAACTTGATAACAATACTTGACTATTGTTTGTTAATAAAACTACTTATAATAATATTAAACCAATTATTGAATCACTTGATTATTATTATAAAGCATTTATAATAATAATATCAGTGATGACAGTATCCATGATATGTCTGGCCATTGGTTTGGCCATCAATTACAGGCAACACATCCGTAATAATAGAAGTGTTATCCATTGGATTAGTATTGGACGCGAATTAATGAATCCAACATAAAGTTATTATATTTATTTATATTAACAAATATTATATATATATACTATATATATATAAAAAAAGTAGATATATATTTAACTAAATAAATAATATATATTAAAATTATATTTATATATTATTATATTTTTATATCAAAATAAAAACAAACTAAAACACTTTTTTTGAATTTTTTATATTTTACAATTAATTTTATTTCAAAATCATAATTTATTTCAAATTATTTTATAATAATCTATAATTATTAACTTAGCTTTATTTTTACAATTAATTTATTTTAATGCAAAGTATTATATATTTAACTACAATAATATTATATTAAATATTAATATTAAAAGTATTATTTTTTTTTAATTTTTAATCGAAATTTTCATGAAAAAAACCTAAATAAAAATGTTTATATTTTTATGCCAATAAAAAAACAAATACACTTTTTATGGAATTTTTATTATAAAATTAATTTTTTCAAAATCATAATTTATTTTATTTATTTTATAATAAAATAAACTATTAATATTAACTAATACAAGTCATTATTTTATAATAAATTTATTTTTAATGTATATATTAATTTTTATATATACTAGTATATATATTTAAAAATTTATATATATATTTATAGTTTTATATATTTTTAATATTAACAATTGTTTAGTAGACGTGTAATTAATTTTCAACAAAAATTTGAAATTAAATTTTATTATATATATATATATATATTTAGCAGAAAAAAATAGTATAGTTTAAAAAATACCGGGATTTTTATTTTAGTTAATAAATAATTAAAATTAAATAATTAAAATTAAATAATTAAAATTAAATAATTAAAATTAAATAATTAAAATTAAATAATTAAAATTAAATAATTAAAATTAAATAATTAAAATTAAATAATTAAAATTAAATAATTAAAATTAAATAATTAAAATTAAATAATTAAAATTAAATAATTAAAATTAAATAATTAAAATTAAATAATTAAAATTAAATAATTAAAATTAAATAATTAAAATTAAATAATTAAAATTAAATAATTAAAATTAAATAATTAAAATTAAATAATTAAAATTAAATAATTAAAATTAAATAATAATAATAATAATAATAATAATAATTCAAATATGAAATCAAATTTATCTATAAATCCAACTAATAATCAATTGATAGCTGTTAGCAAACAATTGCCAAAATCTATTGAATTAGTTTCAAAACAACAACAACAACAACGACAGCAAACAATTATATTTGATTTATACAATCCAGACACTGATTATCAACAGTTGTTTGATATTTGGCGCGATTTGGTCAGCGATGGCCAGTATTTTATTTACGACGGCAAAGATGCCGTTACGGATGACTACCACAATATAACTGAAATGCAATCAGTTTTTAATGAAAAATTTTCAACAAATAATGGCTATCTGTTTGTCTGTCGTCTAACGGATAGGGGTCTAGATTTGGGTGAATAAAATGAAAATTATATATTCGTTGTATAAATTAAAAATTATTTAAAAAAAATAGTTTTAGAAATTATCTCTATCTCTATCTCTATCTCTATCTCTATCTCTATCTCTATCTCTATCTCTATCTCTATCTCTATCTCTATCTCTATCTCTATCTCTATCTCTATCTCTATCTCTATCTCTATCTCTATCTCTATCTCTATCTCTATCTCTATCTCTATCTCTATCTCTATCTCTATCTCTATCTCTATCTCTATCTCTATCTCTATCTCTATCTCTATCTCTATCTCTATCTCTATCTCTATCTCTATCTCTATCTCTATCTCTATCATAATAAATATATATATATATATATATATAAACTTTTTGAATTATTTAGATTATTAAAAATAAATTTATAATTTAAATAAAAATATAATTTATTTAAAAAAATAAATAAATTTTATAATTTAAAAAAAAATCTTTTTAAATATATTATATCTATATATAGATTCAAATTCTAATACTATTACTACTACTACTACTACTACTACTACTACTACTACTGCCGGCAACAAAACTATTGGTGCAATATATCTAAAACAAGCCGACTATAGACGGGCAGCTCATAGAGCCATAAGTACAACATTTTTCGACAAACAATACCATAGTATGGGTTTGGGTGGCCTATTGAAGGATACGGTAGAAATCTATGGCCGACTACTGGGGTTTCAATCGATAACTGCTAATGTATTGGCCAATAATCAGCGCAATATTGACTGTTTGACTAGACATGGCTACAAACAAGTTGGTTGTATACCCAGTGCTATCAAATTAGATGGCGGACATGGTTTTGTTGATTTACTAATTTTTAATAAACTTATTAATTAATTAAGAAAAAAATTGAAAAAAATAATTAATTAAAGTATATATATATATATATTGAGGGAAAGTTCCAACATTGACCGGTCTATCGACCGATCAAATAGTCAACTATACTTTCCTCCAAACTTATATCAATGTAATCAACATATTATCAATGAGTCTCCAAACCATTATTACTCTGAGACTCCAAACTATTAATATTCATATACTTAATGCTTACTTTAAGACCTCTATAAATACATGTGTTTAATACACATTTAATTTAGTCAATTGTTAGCTATCATAGAGTTAACATTACTCTTTATTTATACTTATTTATATTACTTATTATTTTCTGTATATTGTATTATATTTAATAAAGTTATTTATTTGATTAACATTTGTGTTCAATTGGATAATTTAACTAATTATGAGGGAATGATCGACTACCGATCGGTCATACCGGTGACCACACCATATGATCGGTCTTAGATCGATCCCAATTGTCCCTCAATATATATATTCCATTAATATATACTGTTATTTAGTGATTGAAATTATTTTCTATAATTAGATTATTTGAATGATTTTATTGATTTTTTTTGTAATTAAAATTATCTACAAAAATAGTTGTTTTCTTTAAAAAAAATTAAAATAATAGTAAATCAATAGTAAATTAACAGAGAGAGAGAGAGAGAGAGAGAGAGAGAGAGAGAGAGAGAGAGAGAGAGAGAGAGAGAGAGAGAGAGAGAGAGAGAGAGCATTTTAAAATAAAATTAAAAAATATTTAAGTTTAAAAAAAACATTTACTATTAATAAATGTTAAAATAAATTTTTCAAATAATATATATAAAATATATATATACAGCATATGTAGTATTAAAACTGTTTATAATAAAATATAAATAAAAATTACCTTGTCATATTTTTTTCTAAAAATAATAATAACTATGTCATTTTGTAGATTATTTTCTATATTATAATTTAAGTTGCTTAATTACATATTTTTTTTAAAATAAAAATTACAAGTATTAGTATTTTTATTGTTATATATAAAAGTTAATTAATTAATTAATTAACTAATAATAATAATAATAATAATAATGTTTAGTATAAGTCCAGTAATATATAGTGCAAAAATTGAGCGGGGTGCTAATTTACATGCAATCGAGTCAATCAACGAGATTAACAATATTACTAATAATAATATAAAAGGTTTTTAATAATTTTTATTAGTTATAAATTAATTAATTAAAAAAATTATATATTTATAAATAATGATAATAATTATAATTAAACAGATCATACAACTAAACTAAAAAAAAAAATTAATAATTATTTTTTTCATTAATTTATTTGAAACTTTTTATTTGAAATAAAATATATGCAATATCTAAATGTAAATTACAAATGGATTCCCATTTTATACATTATATTATAATTAGATAAAACATTTACTATTATTTATAATAATTTTTATTAAGTGTAATATTTTTGATACAATTATAATTTTATTTAAATAAATAAATAATTTTTTTCAAGTAAAATAGTTATATAATTATTATTAAAATATTTTTTTATATTAGTATAATTGAAATATTCAATAATATTAATTATAATAATAAATATTTAAAAAAAAATAAAACTTAAATAATTTTAATTAATTTTATAAATACAAAAAAATAATTATAATTATAAACTTGAAATTAATTGTTGCTGATAAATCGTTTTTAATTTCATCTTGTTAATTTTACCAAAACTGGTCATGGGCATTTTGTCCAAAATTTTTACCACACCTTTAAGCTGTATATAAGGGTTGATAATCATTTCGTTGACATACTGTTGTATATCCCGTTCCTTAGCCAACCGATCATCCATAGTGTGGTCAGTGGTATCGGTATCGGTGTTGTTGGCTATAAGTGTTACAAAACCCAGTGGTATCTGTCCGTAGTGTTTGTCATCGATGCCAATAACGGCCGCCATTTCGACCAATGGATGAGATAATAGTTGATTTTCAAGTTGTTTTGGCGACAAATTGATTCCTAAAATTATATATATATGCAAAATAATTAATAAATTATTTTATTTATTATAAATTATTTGAAAATTTAATTATTATTTATTATTAGGATTTTTTCCCAAATTTTTTTTAGGATTTTCTAGGTTAAGATATTTGAAAAGATTTCCAGAAATTTCCCTTAACTAACCTAATATATTATACAATTATAGTTTATATACAGTATATATATATATATATATATCATAGTATTAAAATAATATATAATCTATAAGACCTCCACAATTGATAATATCTTTCAAACGGTCGACAAAATAAAAGTATTGGTTTTGATCATAATATCCCAAATCGCCAGTCAATAGGAAACCATCGCTAGTAAACAATTGATTGGTAGCACTGGTATTACCAAAATAGCCGGGTATTAACTACATAATAAAAAATATAATAATTTTTTTTACAAAAAAATATATATATATATATATACTGTATATATATATAATTACTAACAGTCGGTCCGCGTACGCATATCTGTCCCGTTTGATTGGCCGGCAAACTATTGMCCCGATTGTCGATAATCTTGACCTCCATTCCCGGTGTTACGCAACCAATACTCTGTGTCCGATTGATACTGATTTGCTGACTGAGCGGAACAGTAAATACTGTACCGCACTCTGATATACCGTAAGCTTTATGTTTTAATTATATTATTCAATTAAAAAAAATTATTATTAAATTTTTTAAATCAAGTAATAATTTTTTTTAAGTAATAATGTAAGCATTTAAGGGTTTTCTTCCTAATATATTTTGTCAATCGTTAAAAAAAATTAAATTTTTAATTATTTGTAGTATTTTTTGTGAATAATTTAACTAAGTGTACATAAACTAAGATTATATAATCTAGAATCTATACCATAAATCTATAAAAAAATTGACCAAGTAATTTTTTATATAAAATATTATAATATTCAATTTATCATAAACTTATTATCATAAATATATATAAATAATTATTAGAATTTWTTTTWAATAAAAAAACTAACAAAAACCATACATACATCGTCTAAAATTATCAATTGAATACAATTGTCTAATGGTATCGAAAATTTCTTGACTAATTGAACCGCCACCGACTGTCAACATTGTCAACGATTTTAAATATTGTTTATCATATTTATGTGAATTTTTCGCCAAAAATATTAAATCCTGGGGTACAGCAAAAAATATCGTAACCTTATAGTCACGAATTGTCTCAAATAGCCTATCATATGAACAGCACTGACTGTTCTGGATTATTAACTGTGTGCCGCCATTATTGCCGCCATTACTGCCGCCATTACTGCCGCTATTACTGCCGTCATTACTGCCGCTATTACTGCCGTCATTACTGCCACTATTGTTGCCGACATTACTGCAGGCATTAGTGCCGACATTATTGCCGACATTATTGCCGCCATTACTGCCACTATTGTTTCCGCCATTACTGCCGCCATTGCTCTCGTCATTAATGTCGCCATTGCTGCCGCCATTTCTACCGCCATTGCTGCCGCCATTACTGCCGTCATTACTGCCACTATTGTTGCCGACATTATTCCAGGCATTACTGCCGCTATTACTGCCGTTATTACTGCCACCATTGTTTCCGCCATTACTGCCGCCATTGCTCTCGTCATTAATGTCGCCATTGCTGCCGCCATTACTACCGCCATTGCTGCCGCCATTACTACCGGCATTACTACCGCCATTGCTGCCGCCATTACTGCCGTCATTACTACCACTATTGTTGCCGCCATTACTGCCGCCAACTATCGTATAGAATAGCGACCTAATGCCCAGACTGTGACAAAATAGTCTCGAAAATACTATATCAGTTGCAGTTAGCGGTTGATCCTCGGGATGTTGTTTCATAGCCATCAGTGCCAACCATTGTCTGTTTGTCCATTGAATGAATTTTGGTCGGCCAGTCGAGCCGCTAGACATTATAATTGTTGCCAAATCGGTGGCCATTGTTTGCACAGGTAGTTGTTGTTGGGAATTATAGCAATTAGTTAGCGATGTGTTGTTTCTATTCGTATTATTTCTGATTATAGTTTCAACCGACTGGTGCTCAGTATATACGGTGTTATCATCGGTCACAGTGTTATTGTTAAGCATTAAAATATTCTGTTATAAAGTATTGTAACGGTCTAGTAATACTAGTAGTATTCATTGGGTGTTACAACCCGTTGCAACTACTTATTAGATAAAATTATTTATCACTACATAGTTCAGTGTATACTACTTAGATAGAAATTATTTATCAATACATAGTTCAGTGTATACTACTTAGATAGAAATTATTTATCAATACATAGTTCAGTGTATACTACTTAGATAGAAATTATTTATCAATACATAGTTCAGTGTATACTACTTAGATAGAAATTATTTATCAATACATAGTTCAGTGTATACTACTTAGATAGAAATTATTTATCAATACATAGTTCAGTGTATACTACTTAGATAGAAATTATTTATCAATACATAGTTCAGTGTATACTACTTAGATAGAAATTATTTATCAATACATAGTTCAGTGTATACTACTTAGATAGAAATTATTTATCAATACATAGTTCAGTGTATACTACTATTAAATAGTCAACTCACTTTTACCGACGGTAATTATTGACCGACTTTGTATTGACACGATAGCTATTGAGTAGTTTCCGCAGTTTGTTGTGGAACTGATTCGGTGACAGTTGTAGTATCTTCAACTGTTGTTATCTTAATTATGTCGACTGCAGTCCTGTTGGGATCAATTCAGTGATAGTTATCGTGTCTTCAACTGTTGGTATCTCTTCAGTTGGAATCGCTTCTTCAGTTGTAATTGATTTTCTCTTTGGTTTAATAATCTTTCTTACTGATTATGTCGACTGCAGTCCCGTTGGGATCAATTCAGTGATAGTTATCGTGTCTTCAACTGTTGATATCTCTTCAGTTGGAATCGCTTCTTCAGTTGTAATTGATTTTCTCTTTGGTTTAATAATCTTTTTCTTACTGATTATGTCGACTGCAGTCCCGTTGGGATCAATTCAGTGATAGTTATCGTGTCTTCAACTGTTGATATCTCTTCAGTTGGAATCGCTTCTTCAGTTGTAATTGATTTTCTCTTTGGTTTAATAATCTTTTTCTTACTGATTATGTCGACTGCAGTCCCGTTGGGATCAATTCAGTGATAGTTATCGTGTCTTCAACTGTTGATATCTCTTCAGTTGGAATCGCTTCTTCAGTTGTAATTGATTTTTATTTAATTTCAAACAAAATTAATAGTAATAATAATGACACATATATTCTACATACAATTTATTTATTAACTTTTATTTCATACTAGATTTTTACATATCATTTCATGTTTACAACAACACTGCTAATCCTCTACTCGATCGGGAACTCCTGATCCCAACAGTTTTGTTGGACGATCAGTACGGGTGGAGTTTCACTCACAGTACACATAACAATACCATTCAAGGAATGGTATGCTGTATGTGTGTGTGTGTGTTATACATGTATACTAAAATTGTTTTCGTTAAAATAGTTTGTTAAAAATAGAAACTATTTTTAATGACTATTTTATCGGCATCCTGACCGTGGATCGGTCCCCGATCAATTACATTCAAGTTTTATATTTTTTTGGTATTTTAGAATGCTTAAAACAACACAAATTAAAACAACAATAAGATAATAGTAAACATCAAACGTTTAAAATGCTACAATAATTAAAGCAGATAAATAAGTTCAAGTTATACTTAAAATAAACATTTAAAGTCGTATTGATCACTAAGAGAGTAATCAAAGCGAGTCTAAATATTCTACGCGTAGAACTTCAAAACCGCCAATGTAGAACTCCTCCTCTTCATTGGTTTGACGACGTCGATACAACAGCCGGCGAAATGATATCTTCATTTCCCACTGTCAAAGAAGTAACGGACTGTGGAAGTTCGCAGACGACCACTCCTTTGTCAGGGATCTCATAAGCTTTCCCTGTATTATTATTACTATCAGTTCGCAGACTGATTTGCGAACATGAAACATCATTGGTTTCATGCGAGATATCGCTGATATTTGGGCTATTATTATCCTCAAAATATTCTGTTTCGATAGGGTCTCTTAAATACCATAATTTAAGTTGTTCTATAGGGACTTTAGATCTTTCCCTTGGGTCTGAAAGACTTTCAATAGTATAGTTGTTTGGTGGGTCACCGTGTATCTTGACCACTTTATAAGGTCCAAAATATTTTAACTGCATTTTAGTGTTGACCCCCTTTTGTCGTAAAAGTTTGTATCGTCCCACCGTGTCTCCGATAGCGAAAAATTGTGGACTTCGTTTTTGATCGTAATAGAATTTTTGTTTGTCTTGGGCTGACTTTAGGAACTCTCGAGCAACTTCTCTGGCGTCGGCTAAATGATCGCCAGTTGTTTGCTTGGGGCTGTCGAATGGTAAACCAAAGGCAACATCTATAGGTTTACGAACATGAAAACCATGCATTAAATAAAATGGGGATTTTCCAGTAGAAGATTGAGTGGATGCGTTGATTGCAAACTCTATGTACGGAATAACCGATGACCAGTTATCTTGATTGCTGTGACAGTATAATGAGAGAGAATTTATTATCGTCCTGTTTGTTCTCTCCACAAGTCCTTGTGTTGATGGTTTATAAGGAGCACATAGACTATGTTGTGTTTGAAAACTTTGAAATACGACTTCCATTGCTTGGGATATTAATTCCCTTGCCTGGTCAGTCAATATTCGCGTCGGACAGCCAAATCTTAAACAAATTTGCTTTATAAAGAACTCAGCTATTCCTTGCGGTTGCCTATCTTTGATTTTTCCCAGAATTACAAATCGTGTAGCATAGTCGACGGCAACAATGAGATAACGATAGTCATTGCTACGGGGTAACGGTCCGACCAGATCCATGCCTATGAGGTCCATTGGGTGTTCAATAGAGATTGAATGTAGTAATCCTCTCGGATATGTTGTCTCATGTTTGCGTCGTTGGCAACAATTACAGCTTCTTACGAATTTATCCACATCTTTTTTCCTTTCTGGCCAATAGAATCGACGGTAAACCTCACTCATAGTGCGATCTCTTCCCATATGTCCAGATGTAAGTGATCCGTGTAAATCGGAAAGAACTAATTCTCTCAAGTGTTTCGGCAGGCAAAACAAATAAACAGGGTGTCCCTCAAAGTAGAATATTCGGTAAACGCGTCCATCGATAAGTACATGTCTTTTTTGTGTTTCTAATTCGTTTCTTTCCAATGATTCTATGAGAGACCGAGTCCAAGAATCCTTTAGCTGCTCTTCGCGGGTGTTTATTAATTCTTGAGCGTTAGATTCTGTTATTTGATTATTATGTATTTTAACAGTTTGGGCATTTGTTAAACTGTTTAGTGTGAATTCCCAGCCAAAGTCTTCGAATGATTTGACGTCGGAGAAATGTATCATTTCCTCTCTCGCACGCTCTATGTTATTTAGAATACATTCCTTAGACTTGCATGGTGTTATTGAAGTACATTTAGCTTTTGACGGCTTAATGGCTTTACTATCGATTAACTCTTGTTCTATTATCGGAAGTCTAGACATACAGTCGCTGTTCTTGTGAAGTGACCCAGATTTATATTCTATGCGTAAGTTGGGTATTAAGTGCTGTATTTCCAAAGCATATCTTCCTAGTCTTCCGTTTAGATTTTTCATTGTTGTAAGAAAACAAAGACTGTGATGATCTACGCGAACGGTAAATGGGGCGTTGTTAATGTATTGTTGTACGGCTCTGATGCCTTTTACTAGCGCTAGGGCTTCTTGGTCGGTGACACAATAGTTCTGTTCTCTCGGACTAAATTTGTAACTCCCATATAACAGTACTCTTTCGATACCGTTCTGTAACTGATGTAAGACCCATCCGGCGGAATATTTACTAGCGTCTGTGTAGAGAATTATCGGCCCATCGGGCTTATAGTGACCAACGACAGGGTATGTAGACAATTTTTCTTTTAATTTATTAAATGCAATATCACATTCATGTGTCCAATTAATTTTGATGACCTTTGCAGCGATTGTCTTTTTTAATAAATCTGTGATTGGTTTAGCTATTTTTGCGAAGTCTTTAATCAAACATCGATAATAATTACATAATCCTAGGAAGCGTCGCACGTGTTTTAGTGTCTTTGGTTCAGGCATATTTGTTATCTTCTCGACGTTAGTAGGGTTAGGACTGATACCGTCCATGCTTACTATATATCCTAGGTACTGTAATTTCTTTGCTAAGAATTGACATTTCTTTGAATTAACTCGTAAATTTGCCTGTTTAAGGCGGTCAAAGGCTAGATCTAAGTGCTTGAGATGCTCTTCAAACGTCTTCGAATAAACTACTATGTCGTCTAAATAGACTAGGACAAACTTGAATAAATATCCAGCGAAAGCCTTCTGCATCATTCTTTCGAAAGTAGCCGGTGCGTTGGTTAGACCAAAACTTAAGACGTTATACTCGTAAAATCCTTCGCTGCATATAAATGCAGTTTTGTGTTTGTCCTTTTCTGCTATTTTGATTTGATGAAATCCGGAAAACAAGTCAAGGCTGGAGTAATAATTACTGGAACCCAGTGCATGCAACAAATCGTCTATTAGTGGCAACGGAAAACGGTCTTTAATGGTTGCAGTGTTGAGTTCTCGGTAATCGATACAAAATCGCATATCTCCATTTTTCTTGTAAGCTACTACTACAGGGGCGGCATAACAGCTTCTGGACTCGCGAATTAATCCTTCTTTTAACAGTTGTTGTACATGATTTTTGATAAATTCAGCTTTGATTGGATTTGTGTGGTACGGTTTCCTATAGAAAGGCACATCTGTGGTTAATTCAATAGTATGCTCCAAAATGTCGGTCGTGCCTATGTCTCTTAATGAGGTGACAAAGAAATGCCGTTTTGTTATTAAGAAGTCTTTCATTTGATTGAATTCA